CATTCCTGCCAGAGAATTTCTGTTTAAAACAAAAAACAAACAAGCAAAAGCCACAGACCAAAATCTTGGCCTAAAAAGCCTCTTAAAAGCAGGACAACAAAGCACGTGGCCCTTTGGAAAGCCGAGCAAGCTGCCTAGAGTCGCCCTTGGTGCCACTGGCCATAGATGTGCTTTTACAAGTGTCTTTCTTCTTTTAGAAAAAACTGTGTGAACATCCTGATCACAACCACCCAACTGGTGCCAGCTCTTGCCAAAGTTCTCCTGTATGGATTGGGCGAGGTGTTTCCCATCGAAAATATTTATAGTGCTACAAAAATAGGTAAGGGGTTGCGCTGGGTGCCTGGCGCTGAGGCGTCTGCTGCGGGTTAGCTGGGATTTTTATGGAGGAAATAGAGTTTCTGCAGCTGAGCAGCCCCCGTGGCTGCTGTGGTCCAGCTGGCCATGTAATAGTGGTGGCTTCTGGCCTCACAAGCTGAACTGGGTGTTACCCCCTCCTTCCCTGTAAGACAAAAATGTGTTTCTGTACTGGGAAGAAGGGACCTCTTCAGGCTTCTGTTGCTCGCTGCCTCAGGCTCATTGTAGTGGGATTGTCTTTTGGCAGGTAAAGAGAGCTGTTTTGAGAGGATCGTGTCACGATTTGGAAAGAAAGTCACCTATGTGGTAATTGGAGATGGGCGCGACGAAGAGGTTGCAGCTAAGCAGGTGGGTTTCTGACTCTGCAGGGGGGGGACGTGGAGGGAAGGTCCTGCAGCAGTCGTCTTCTGGAGGGACTCTTTTTCCAGGGCTGAACTCTTCAGGCCAGGGGCAGGCAGGAGGAAACTTTGCCTTTGATGCAAGAGATCTTTCACTACATTAAGATGGGGAGCTTTCTGGCTCTTTGGGGTTTAAAGTTTCTGTTGTGTTTAGGATCGCCTATCACGTTGTCCCTGTAAAACAGTATCTTGATGTAGCAAGGCTTTCCTGGGAAAGCCTTTCCCTTTCCTGGCTTTCCTCACAGCCAAGCGCTGAGGTTTCCATCATGAGCATGCAAAGCAGCTGATAGTCAGTGCTGGTGCCCGTCGTAAACAGATGTGCCGCTAAGAGAGGCTTCAGATACCGATGTGCATACGGCTGAGGTCCTTCCTGAACGTGGTATGCTCAGGCTGTGCTGTCACAAATGCCGTATTGCATAACCCTACAGGGGGACCTTGACTGCTTCCACCTAGCTGTACCATCACCCCGATAAACCTGACTTTGTCATCTCTCCGTTACAGCACAACATGCCTTTCTGGAGGATCACAAATCATGCAGATCTCATGTCCCTTCACCAAGCCCTCGAGTTAGACTTCCTGTAAGAAGCTGGAGCAAAGGCGTGACTGCAGCTCCTGCAAGCTCTCTCCGTCACGGAGGAGACAGAAATCTCATATATTTGGGGACTCACTTTTCAGCTCGATGAAGAAAACATACCTAATGCAAACTGTCCAGTAAAAGGTGACACCAGGTTATTTCCTCAGGAGTACAGGCTCTGCCAACGAGAAAGGTGTCATATAAAGAAGCGCTAGACTCAGCAGAGCTAGGGCTTGTCTGAAGAAGAGACTTACAGAAGCCAGCTGAATTCCTCCAGTCTCCAGAGGGAGGAGGTGATACAACAGTAGAAGTATTTGTGAGAGCCTTCTCCCTTCTCTTCAGCTTAGTTGTAGAACCCAAGTAAACACAAAACCTTATTTTTATAGAAAAATACTGATGGCAGAGCTGAACCTCCCTTGTTTCGCAAAGCCGAAAAGAGCTATGTTTTTTTTCCATAGGAAATATTAATGAAAATGTCAAAAATACCTCTATTGCTGTGAAATGTGTCCTCTCTCCTTCCCTGGGTGTTCAAAGCAGTTAATTTATTGCAATGTCCTTATGTTATTTCCTCAACGTGGGATTACTGGAAAATAGAAAGATAAGGGAATGTTTCTGGGATATGTGGTTCCTTGTGGAGGAGAGTGTTGGTGTTCTGAGTTGATCCCGGTGACCTCTAGTCAACGTGTGCACAAGCCCTGTTAACAAGCAGGAGATCATTGGATTCCAGCTATCCATGACCCAGACCGTAGGTCCCACAGATTTTCCCTGTAAAGGAAAACAGAACTGCCTAGGAACATTAGATGCAGCACAACACTATTGCAGACTGCTCAGATGTGAACAGAGTCCTCATCTGGACAAGGAATAATTTGAGAGAACTAAATCCTCATGAATGTTACAAAGAAGAGTATGGTCATTAACCTTCACCTCTGCTTTCCTGACTCCGTATGTGAGAGTAAGTTCCTTTTAGTAGAATCAGATTCAATTTTCTTGTATTCTTCTTTGCATTAGCCTAACTACATAGTTAGAAACAAAACCCTTGTTAAGAGGGACTTAATTTTCTAAGACACTGTGACTTGGCAGCCTGGAGCACACTGGCCTTGGGGGTGATGGTTACGCTGATTTTTCTGCTGCCATCTCAGAAAAAAAGTCTGGAGTTAGTGACCTGCAGCACCGCTAGCCAGAGGGAGCCAGCTGGAGACCGGGGGCTGTCAGGAGGCGCTGGTTTGGGGCCAGGCCAGGCTGTGTTCAGTGGTATCCGCCTGCTCCCTGTACCCCGATGGCACCAAATCCACAGGCGCCTGGGGTTTCTGCACAGAGGACAGATAGCTGCTGTGCCCCACCGCACGCCTCTGCTGCTCCTGCTGAGCCAGACACCGCAGCTGCACCCAAACCTCTCCAGATCTCTGGTCTCCAGCCCAGCGTCACCCGACTGGGACCCGTGGGGGACTGGTCGGAAAGCATGTCACTTCAGGGAGGACGCTGACCCACTCAGGCTGTGCCCACAGAAGCAGGTGATGTGTTTGCTGCATTCCTTTCATGGCATTAATTACTGAGGAATAATTCCTGTCGGTGCTGGGGGAGTTGCTGGGCCAGCTCAGCACGTGCTCTGCTGTGCCCCGGCGTTCCTGGGCCAGCTCCTGTCACCACGGTGGAGAAGGTGCCGAGAGCAAGGGGTTTGGATCCCCAGAGCTAAGGGACTGGACACAGAGGTCTCTGTTTCACGTGTTCCTAGCTCCAGTTTGCTTTTTAAAAAAAAAAAAAGAAAATCAGAAGAGATTCTCTTTCTCCAAGGTGGTCACAGGAGTCAGTAGTGGTCTGCTCTCCATCCAGCTCCTTGCTGGGTGTTGGCGTTGTGCTCTGTCTCAGGCGGCCGCTCTGGGTCTGCCTATTTCCCCGGCAACTCTCTGCTTCGGCAGCACGCCGTCTGCGTAGAAGCTGCTGCCTGCGAGCAACGTCACCTCTTGTCCCATTAGAAAAATCTGAGGAGCCGATTTCTGCTGTGGGTGTTCCTGAACAGCTCAGCGGAGGGGGTGTCCTCTGGCTGCACTGACAGCGGCCGGCCCAGCAGAGCCCCGGGAGCACGCTGGGGATGTGCTACGCAGCGCTCAGCAGCAGGGTGTGGAGAGAAGCAGGAGCCCACGGGGGATGTTCTCCTGCCTGCCGCGTACACCGGGCGATGCTCAGGTGTTACCGGCTGTTCCCACGCAGCCAGGCAGCCCGTGGAGGCGTGTGCTGGTGTTTGACAGCAGCGTGGGCCCCGTGCAGAGCAGGGGGAGTTGCTGCAGGGCTCCGGCTGCATTACTGCTGGGTCCATAGAGTCCGGTTCATCTGGGCTCCTGTGAAGTGTCGTTGCTGCGGCAGCCGGAGCAGATCTGCTAGGAAGTGAGCCGTGCCGAGAAGTAGCCCCGTTGCTCCCAGGGTCTGAAACGTTACCAGAAGATCAGGACTTAGTTGCAGTCACAGAAGGGTCTGTGCTGGATCCTGATGCATCTCTCTGCAGGTCCCCAGCCCATCCAAAGGTCTCCTGTAAACGGGCTTGGGAGATGTCCCAGCCTGTGAAACGGCCTGTTCGGAGCACCTCTTGTTCTCCGGCTGGCTGAACTTCGGGATTAAAACCTGTGCCTTAACCTCCCACCACCCGGCGTGGCCGAGCGGCCCCTTCGCTTCACCAGTGCCCGAAGCAGCTTGCAGGAGAGCCGTGCTGGCCCGCGCCGGCGGGTGGGATGGGCTCTGCCCAGGCGCTCGCAGCGAGTGCTGGACCCAAGGTACCAAGCAGCCCAGCAGCTGGCTGGCTTTGCTTTGTGTTTGTTTACTTTAAAATGTTTTAAGGAAATTTTAAGATGTCAGCAAAATTTTAGCTGAGTGTGGAACTCTTGCAGCCAGTGACATTTCATACTGATATTTATACGATGTTTCCTTGAATGTATGTAAAGTACTTTTATAATAGGAGGTTGATGGTACATTTCTGTGTTTATGTTTAATAAAGGTTGACCTGGCTATTTTATTTTTTCCTCTGCTGGCTGAATTTAAGACTTTTCCTGTCTCTCGTGTGGCAGAAACAGCATCGCTATCCAAGCATTGATTTTCTTCTGTCTCTGCGCTCTCCCGTTACCCCTGACCTGGCTGTAGCTGAACTGGTGACAAACCCGCACGCCTGAGCGACGGCCGGCCTGCTGGCCCGGGCGCTGCCGCTGAGCCCGCTGGGTGCTGCCGGCCTCCCCTCCGGCTTCACCTCAGCCAGGGAGGCTTTAAAAAAACCACCTTATCCACTAATATTTGCTGCCTCCAAGAGCCCTGGGGGGGAGATGTCCGTGCTGGCGCTCACGGAAAGCAGCAGGACCCCCGGCGCCCGCAGCAGCCCTCGCTGCGCTACCGACCCGCGGCAGAGGGAGAGGGGCGAGCCCCGGGCGCTGCTGGCTGTGGAGCCTTTGCCCGGTCGTGGTCTGTGTAATGGGAACTGTCCTATGAACTGGAAAAAAAAAATAAAGTCTTTATTTTCTATAGTCACTGCTTCAGCCTGTTCTCTGACGCCCCTGCAGTCAGCCCCTGTCCCCTGCAGCAGCCGGGGCTGGGCTTGGTGGCACTGGGTGCCATTCAGGGTGACGGTGCCACAGGCCGCAGCACGGCCGCTGGCACAAGCAGCCACCGGAGACCCCGCTGCCCTGGGTGCCCTGCGGCAGCCAGCGGTGGGGGGACCGGCTCCTTGGTTCTGCGCGGTGCCCGGGGAGGCAGACGGCGCTTGGATAGCGCTGCACAAACCTTCCCTTCCCGTTTTGTCTTGCACAAGGCCAACAACCAACCCTCCTCCCGCCTGCTGCTGTGCTCCCACTGTCCTCGGCCACAGGCTTGTCCTGTTAGGGGAGCAGCTGGGAAAGGAGTGTTCCAGCGGCTTCTCCAGCTGCATCCTGCTGCCTCCCCCTGCCCTGCCTCTGCCTTCCCAGCACAGGGGGTCCCCTCTGGGGACAGGGCCCTGCCGGGAGCGTGGGCGACAGAGGTAAGGGGCTGTGGGCAGCCAGGATGCGCCACGGCTGCTGGCTGGGCAGCAGCAAAAAGAGCCGGGGCCGTTTTGGGGCCTGCTCGGGTTTTGGCACCGAGCCGGGGGCAGCCGCGCCTGGGAAGCAGCGGGTGTCCGCACCCAGGAGCCGGCGCAGCCCCACCCTGACCGCACCAGCGGCCACCTACAGCTGAGAAACTGGTCATGGCCGACTCCAGCCTGGACACGGCCCGAGGGTGGTGGGAATGCCAGCAAGGGGACCGTGAGGTGGCCACAATAGGCCAGAAGCGCTGAGCCACACTGCGGCTGTACACTGGGACACCCCTGCAGGAAGGGGGTGCACCCTGCCAGCCCCCACCCCACAAACAGCATCTGCTGCTCAAAGGGGAAAAGCGGCAGCGGGGCAGCGGGAAAGGGGTGACCTGCCCAGCCCAGCTCAGCCTCAAGCACGGCGCTTCAGCTCTGCCCCTCGGCCCGCAGCGGCAAGGGAGAGGCAGGGAGGGACCCGGCAAAGGGCAGAACCGAAGCCTCTGTCCACGGAGGAGCCACGCTGAAGACGCTTCCCTGTTTCTGAAGAAGCAAAGCACTGCCCCAAGGCCGGGGCACAGCCCCCGCCTGCCCTGACCCTGCGCCGTCCCACAACACCCTCCCGCCGCTCGCCAGCCTCAGGGAGTCCCTGCCTCCCTTCCGTCCCGCCCTGAACACGGTGATAGCAGCCGATCTTTGATCTTCCTAGCAAAACAGGAGAAGGAAACTCCTGGCTGGAAAGAGAAAGATCAGATCAGAGAGCTGCTGCCAAGAAGGGACAAGCTCACCCACCTCCCCGAGCAGCAGCGGCGGCAGCAGGCACAGGAGAGGCACAGAGAGAACAAACCCTTCTTTTTTTTTTTTTTTTTTTTTTTTTTTAGAAAGTTTTTTTGAGAAAGCTAACAATAAATAACGAGAGAAGCTGACAGCACAGTGCAGCCGCAACGTGCTGGACCCCTCCATGAACACTGTAGCTCTCCCCGAGGGCGCAGCCTTGGGAGCCGTGCTGCGTGCCGTGGGGCTCGCCGGGCGCTTGCACATCACACCTGCTTTCTGCCAGGTCCCTCCAGCTGCCCAAACCGACAGCCTGGGGGGCAGAACTAACAAATCTATGTCCCCGGCAAGTCACTTTGGAGGAGCGGCCTCAGACAGCAGACTCAGCAGCAGTGGCCCCATTCAGAAAGCGCTGCCCCGCCAGCCGGGAGATGGGGAACTGGGTCTGGGCCAGCCACTGCATCCGCCTGTTCACGAGGTCTGGCACCGACAGCGAGCGAAACGCCAGCCCGTTGCTTCTCCCGTTGGCATCCACCTCGTCGTAGCCGCCTTCTTGCTGCGCCTGCACGTTGGGGTGCAGCCACTTGTAGTAGGTGACTCTGAGCGCCAGCCCCAGCAGGTAGCAGGGCAGGGCGGCAGCGACCACCGGGACGAGGTACGCGTGCTCGTCAGAGGGGGACCGGCACCAGAGCCAGGACAGGGCCAGCAGCGCGCTGTCCACCAGGATGAAGCCGTGATAGATGATGCTGCGGTACAGCGTCCTCCCCGGCGCCACGTTGAACCAGCTGAAGTAGAGGATCACGGCCACCATGGCCCGGTAGAGCTGCTCAGGGCCCGGCGACTCCATGAAGTCCGTGCCCTGCAGGCTGACCCAGAGGAACATGGCCAGCCACACGAGCGGGAAGTGGACAGCCACGCCGTAGGGCCAGAGCAGGGCAAAGAGGGCGACCGCCAGGATGCGGGGGCAGATGAGGAAGAAGTTCCACAGGAAGTAGATGACGGAGGAGCCCAGGCTCAGCTCGTACTTGTCCTGCAAGAAGGAGCGCAGGGACTGGTGGTAGTCCAGTAGAGACCAGGCCACACACAGGAACGCGGTGCAGATCCCCAGTCCTGCAAACACAGTGGTGGAGACGCTGAGGGCAGATTGAGGGGGCTCAAACCTCCCCCTGCCCAGCATTGCTAAAATGAGCTTCACACCAACTCGCAAAGCGGCTGCTGCGGAGGGTCAGCGCCTCCGCACCTGCGTCTCTCCCCTGGCCTTCTGCCCTCCCCAAGGAGGGGCTGGTGCCCGGCCTCGCCCGGGAGATGGGGAAGAGGCGACGGGGCCAAGCAGCTCCGCAGGGGCCGTGTCCCAGCCAGGGAAGCCCCCAGCCCATGCGGGCAGGAGACGAGTCCTGGCTCCACCCAGCCAGCGCCTGACTGGGCAACCTGCTTCATGGCGGTGACGCTTGCTCCGGGTCGGGCACCAAAGCACCTCCTCGGTGGCCTGCGCTCCACCCTCTGTCCACACCCACAGCAGCATCGCCCCGCTGCCCAGCGGGCTCCCAATTTCTCTCCTGACCCTCTCTCCTGGGGCACGCGGGGGAATGACCACAGAGGTCCCCCAGCTTCAACCCTCCCACCCCAAGACCAGCATAGCCCACTGGGGCATGCGAGCGCAGGACAGGGGTCCCCACCCTCCTGCGTGTCACGTCAGAGGACGGAGCGACGGGGGAGAAGAACACCTCAAGCAAGGACAGACGAAGCGTGTCCTGCCGGGTCCTCCCGTCCAAGCCCATTCTGACCGCAAGCCTGCACCCCCGCAGCCCCCTCCCCGGCCCCAGACCCCTCACCCTGGGAGGGCTCCGCCTTGTTTGTCTGCAGGATAACGTAGAGGAGCAGGGTGAGCTGCGGGGTGTTCTCCAGGAAGGTCTCGAAGAGGCGCAGCATGCTGATGTCGTGGGAGAGGAAGGCCATGCGGCTCTGCTCCTCCTCCTCCTCTGCCTTCGCCCAGCACACCTTCCAGCCCACCTTCAGAGCGTGGAGGCACCTGTGTGGGGACCCGGCCAGCGGTGAGGGGCTGCTGGGTGGCAACGCAGCGTGCCCCTTGGTCCTCACGCTGCCCTGGCAGGGCAGCTCGAACCGCTCCGATTTATGCTCAAACCATTCCCTCCCCCTTCCCAGGCCAAGCCCCGCAGCGCCTGCACGACGCCCAGCCGCTGCGCGAAGTTCAAGCATAAAACGGAGCATCGCCCTCGGCAGAAGCAGCCGGATTCTTTCCTTCCCCCGGGAGGGGAGGCATTGCGCAGCCACGCCGCTTCCCCAAACAGCTGGGAGAGCCACGCGGGGTTCGGGGCGTTCACCGCTCCCGCGGGCTCCGACACCCAGCCCTGCGCGGTTTTGGCAGGAAGCCGACGACAGCGACGACAGCACCGGGAGACGGAGCAAAGTGGGAGGCGGGTGGGAAACTTCAGCCGGAGGGAGGCCGGTGGCTCCAACCCGGAGCTGGGCCAAATTGCCCTGCCCGGG